CTGTCTAATGTATAAATCAGGTCAAAAATTCCAGCCTTCATTTATGGGCTGGAAAGGAATTATTTTTATACATCTTTAATGGATCAACTATTTGTATTCCCATAGAAAAATAAAATGTACTTAAATTCAGACCTGTACGATTGATGAGGCAACCATCAAGCCATGAATTCATTTACATGGTTAATATATGATCCTTTGACGAGTAAGGCAACCAGATCAGAACAAGGAGAGCAGAACAACTAGTCTCAGACTGGTCAACTCCTTGGACCTCCACCACGGTGTCTATCGAACAACTGACCCCCAAACGGTCAAACTGATCAAGGGTGGATCTAAAGTAGTTAAATTAAAATGTTAGAAAGAAAGGAGTAGTTGTCTCCTTCACTCACATCCTTCCTCCCTTCCCAACCTCAAAAGCAGGGGTTTTGCGGTTGTTTTAAAGATTATCATTTACTTTCTGGCGAAGGTAATTTCACTTCCTAATTTGTAATTCTAAGTGAATCCTACCAGATTTTTCACTTAGAGCACCATGGTCACAAATGACCTGCCATTTCTGAGGTCAGAAGAATTGTATTAAAAAGCCTCTCCTCCCTTCACAGAATGTTAATTTAATGCTAAGTAATGAATATTTAAGGATCCTAATAGATGTGCAAATTAACAATTATGCTGTAGCACCCCGCTGTTCATGCTATCAACCTCTGCATTGCTGCAGAAACTCAATTTGGGCTTCAGTCAGCCTTTTGTTACTCTATTTTCAACACTGAATCTTGAGATGCGCCTGAAGGCTGGATGGCAGCTGGGTAAATGCCCCGAGCAGTGAGGTACCCACGAATACCGGGCAACCTATGGAACATGAGGGTTGATTCACTGGACCCTTCGCTGGAATTATTTGGAGGTGTAAATATTTATTAAGTTCATCTGAAGCAGGCTCTGAGTTCCTTACGGGCAGGATGCCATAAAACAGATTTAAAAGGAATGGCAGTTGTTAACCCAGCTGACTTCCTTAGGATCTGGAGCAGCATGGGGTCTAGCCTGACTCCATATTTGTTCTGAGCAGGACTGAAGTCACTCCAGAACGTGCCACACCAAATGATGAGGAAAGATAGTGGAATTTTTTTTTTCTGAATGACACACACACAGATTCCATTTGCTACTGCATCCACAGTAAGTCTCAAACACATGACACTACGAGCAATGCATCAAGTGAAAAAGAGCAAGACGAATTCATTTGAACAGCCAACTTTTGCATCCTTTGTCTTTAAGGTAAAATAACGAAGAGCAATAAAATCCACTGATTGATACGGACCATTAGATGTTTGTTTTCATCTGTTTTTGAACAGATTAAAATGAATGTAAATACAACATTAAATAAAACATATGACATCAAGTCTGTGGGCCCACAAATAAATGCTGTTTGGAAGAACATTGTGTCATCAGCTTTGACTCAAAACAAATCTGGTAAATAGAGAAATATGCCTCCTAATCACATTAAAGATTCAATACAAATTGAAGGTGTATTAATACCCCAAGGAGGACTTTGTTTTTCCAGACTAAAAAATATGTAGAATATAGAATTCATAAATTTTAAGTCTTACCTTTCACTGTAAATATTGAAAGAATATTATAAACAGAATTATAACTGCTAATGCCATTGGCTTTTTATTAGAAACCAAGCATTTACCTGACTTTAAAGAATAGAAATGTCACCTCTTAAAAATCCAGGTAAAATAATCTAGTGTCTTTCATTTTCTTTATCTTTTAAAGAGAAATACTCTAAAGTAAGCAGAATTAGCATAAATAGCATGATAGCAGAACCAGCATAAAATAATCATAATATGATTTAGACTTCTACTCAAGAGAGGCTTGTGTTAATTACAAATAATACTTTTATCAAAAATACATTCTTAGAGTCTGTACTTTTGGGAGATACTATTCATGAACTTTAAAAATTCATCTCTCATATACATAAATATTTTAACTAGTGTCCAATACCATTCCATTCTGAAAGGAATCTCTCCAAGCAAAAGGCGGTATGTCTTAGTGACTTGTACTAAAATATGTATATCCACAGAAACAGCTTCTTTGCAACACACACCAGAACACAAATACAATTTGAAAATGCTAACACCATGGGGGAAAGGCAGGTACCGAATACAGTCGATGATTACTCACCAATGTAGTAAGAACAAAGGAAGATAAATTACTCAAAATTACAGATACTTCCACATCTCCATTTTAGCCTGTGGTTTCGGCATCATCCCACACCTAGCCACATTCCAGAGATGAGCAAGAAGAAAGATTGAGCATTTCAGTTTATGTCTCCCTCGACTGCCTCACCCTCCAGGAGAGGTGCTAACAGAGCAAGAAGAAATGGGGACCAGAAGACGATAAATATGGCCCCCAGGTGATCCAGAGTGCAAAACACTCAGCCACTGAGTCATTAAAAATCCAAAACCCTTTCGCCAAGCTGGCTGTCCGGTAACACATTAAAACTTTTGAGTTTCAATGGGAAGCAAAAACATCATACAAATGTTAGACACATTTTAGATGAAACCCCTGGGGCACAAACATATCAAAAGCATAAAATATTGATTGTTCGGTTTCAGGTCTTCCCTTCTCGAAACATGGCCACTGGACCTGTCCTAAGCCCTCTATTCAGAAGTCATTTCCAGTACACAGAAGCAGATCTTTGTGTGGTTTCTGTGAATTACATATTTGAAAAGTGGGTCATCATTTACTCTTGCTACTCCTACTGAGTTACACAGTCACCAGTCTTATCTGGGTCTTCTCCATCGATTTTAATCCTCTTCTTTTCTATTTCGACCTGTATGCAAAAGCAAAACATGACGGCATTAACCAACACGGCACTAACACTGCTCAGTCCTACTGCGCACATGACGCAAGGACTGACGCCACCCCATCCTCTGGACACAGACACAGCGCCCCCACTGTCTCATGCTAGCTCCTAGTGAGGCAGCCTGCTCTCCTGTTGGTCAACAGAGCCCCCCAAATCCTTCCCTCTAGTGTCAAGTCTGGAAGAGGACTGAAACTCTCCTCCCTTCTAAGTCAGACAGAGGGTTTATAAAATATACACAGAATACATGTATCGATAAGACATTTAGGGTCTTGGCTAGACATGTGATCAATTATACCCCCAAGTATTGTATCTGTAGCCTTTGGCCCTCGTGAGATTTATAACCCACCCCAAATCATCTCATTAAGATGAACTAATTTACAAGCTAGTAAACCAGCTGGACAGAACCATCTACCTGCTCCTCATCTTTTTCATCTCATCTCAAATGTTACCTCCTCACAGAGGCCCTGCTGGGCCACATGAAATAAGCAAGCCCTCCATCATCCTCTATCTTGTTCCCCTATTTTATCCTCTTAGAATCCATCCCTCTTGGAAACTCTTTATCTGTTTACAAATTATTTTTTGTTCCCACGCTAGAAGGTATGCTTTGCGAGGACAAGGACCTGTCTCTTGTTGACATTTGTGTCTCCAGCGTCCAGGGGGGTACCTGGCACTTTGAAATTGCTCAATAAATACGTATGAAATGGAAAGTAACATTTTGAAACTGACTGTCACCAAGTGACGAGCAATTAGTAAATGCTATTCAAGCGGCAGAGACTTGGTTATGTAATTTTGAGCTGTCCTCTAAAACAAGAGGAAACTGGAACGAGGGAAATAGGTATAAATGAATTCTCCATTGTACTTGACCCGCATTTCAGTCACACGTAATACTTATATTCCTAGTGTGACCGGTCAGGGTCTCCAAGAAGCAGTCTCTGAGATGGAGACTGGTGTGCAGAAAGTGTACTGGGGAGTGCTGTCGGGGTCCAAGCCTGTGGGGGAGGGAAGGAAGCACATGGAAGGAGTTGGGCTGCAATGCAGTCACTGGAAAGGCTTCAGCTGATCCCCAGGGTGAGCTGGAGCTAGGAGGGCTGCAGAGTTACCCCCAGCTGAAGCAAGAGGGTCTTGATACACCTGCATCCAAGGAAGGGGGTGTGACGTGGGGCAAGGCAGCTTTCTTCAGCAGGGCAATTCCCAGCTGCTGGGAGAGTTAAGTCCTTTGGTCCCAAAGAGGCTGCACACAAGGGCACTCACCCATCATTAATTTTACTAATAGGGAAAAAAAAAATCACCGGACCCAAACACATAAGCTTATAAACAGATGGTCCAAAATAAAGAAAAAAAATCCCTGGCTTATACTACTATGTTATAAAACCACCAGTTGGTGTCAATGATGTCGTATATAATCACACCATTTCAAGATACTGTGGGAAATCTGTGGCAGAGGTTATCTCTATATTTATTAACTTCGAAGATGAGAAGGAAAAGCAAGTTTAGAAATAGGTGTAAGTGTATGTCACTCTTTAATTCATCTAGCATAAAAGTGCAGAAGAGCTGATGGTGAACATTTAAAATTGTTGTAATAGAATAACTCAGCATTTCCCAAAGGGTGCTCCACAGAATACTATTCCAGAAGATATTGAGAGGTGTTCTACATACACGTGCCCATAGAGACAAGATTCTGTAATCAATGAGTTGGGAGAAACTGAGTTAAGTCTAACAAGTTTCCTTATTGCAGAACTTCTCAGAGCCTTTATTTAGCATTAACTTAGTGCACAGCATTCCCCAACTTATTTTTTTCTTGGATCACTATATGTCTCCCATAGAACACACCTTGAGAAATGCCATTCTAACATAACTTTTATTATAAAGATGCTTCTGAAATGTGAATTCGTTTTTAATGCCCTGTTTTTCACTGAGAGCAGAATTAAGTGGCACCGTGTGCTCAGGCTCCTGATTTCTAGAACTGAGAGAAACTTGGCTCACTGGTGACCATCAAGTTTCCATGACTGGGCCCTTTTCTAGGTCAAATAAACACACCTACATATACACATACACGGTCATCGAAGAGGGCAAAACAGAGATCTAAAGCCCAATCAGGTCACAGCACCAGAAACTTCAACTTGAACCAAAGGGTTTTGGGATATACCTGAATGTTGTAGCAAGCTCGCTGATGAACATGTTTCTGTGGCTGGACATCACTCTCCACCCCCAGAGACTTGACCTCTGTCCTCGAGGCACAGGTGTCCAGCATTCCAAACTGAACAGTAGCAAATGGATACCAATCAGAGGGAATTTCTTGGTCTGATCCAAGTTCTAGTTTGTATGACAAGCAATGGGGATGATCAGGACCTTGAAGAAAAGAAACCAAATGGTCAAAGTATTTTAATGGCCACGAGCATTTCTCTTAAACGTAAGTTCTCGTCCCTCTCTTTAATAAACAATTCCATTAGCACTGTGGCAGTGTAAGCTCTGTTTAAACAACATATCATCAAAATTCACAATTTTGCACCAACTAGGGGAAATCTATCTGTATTTTTTAAGTACTAGCTTTAAAATAAGCACAAGTTCATTACGATATATATGACATATTAACTCCTAAAGCGTTTTTAATTAAGAGTATGTTAACTTTCTTTAATTAAATAGGGTAATATTTGTATTAAGCATCATTAATTGGCTATAATGTACATAGGATGTGTTAGAAAAACCTATGCCTTAAGTAGACTGAATAAGCTCTTACAATAATTCTTACCTTATTAATTTCCTTACCATTCTGTCTCCTGATAGATAATGCAAAGGTAAACTTCAGCCCAAATTGGGTCACATTATTAAAAATTCTAATTTTTTAAGTGAAACTTATTAAAATTTTATTACATTTTAGAAACTACTCTAGGCCAAGAATTCTTTCTTCAGTAGAACGGATGATTTCTTACCGCTGTAATTCTTGCTCACCCCCCAACCCCAAAAGCTTTGCCTGGAACAGATGTACAGTGTAGAGATGGGCATATTGCGTTCAGTGTTTTAATCTAATATTTGTTTCCACTTAATTCAATTTGCCACGTATTGAGCATCTACTCTATGCTAAGCCAGGCTCGGTGCCAGACCCAGGGATATTGGATATATACAAAGATTTTAAGTGCGGTCTTATAACATGTGTGTGCACGTGCACATGTTATAATGAAGTAAAAAATGTTTCCAATGCAACCACTGTAGTAGTCTACAAAGTTCCATGATTCTGTTGCGTCGTCCACAGCATCTACACATCTAATGCAGCCATCTTTATTTAAATAAATGTATGAGATGACAGTTATTTGAAAAGCCAGATTATATTATTTTACCACTGACATACCTCAAGAAAGAACATTCCCATCAGAATATAGCTTTAGGCACAAAAAAACAAGAGTTTAAAGGATTTCACTTAATTCTTAAAAGATAAATTGTCTTTCACTCCTTACAACCTGTTCCTTGTAGAGAGACTAATAGAACTCTAAGGCTTAAGAAGTCATCAATCAATTAACCAACAGATGCTCATTAGCCATCTCCCTCACTTACACGGAGAGCAGGACAGCAGTGGCCTCTGAGCTGCTCTAAGCTACCCAGATCACTGCAGGCAAGTGATAACTTAATACACACACACACACACACACACACACTCGGGGTATTCCACAATCCATTACCCTTTCTTAGTCTTCTGTCTGCAGCAAGGAGGCAGTAAATTTATTTAAACTTAATTCAGGCACTCCTAAGTTCTTTATGGCACAGTGGCTGGCACAGGACTCAGATGGCCCAGAGTCCAATCCCAACTCTATTTAATGGCTATGTGATCCTAGGCAAGTTCCTTGATGTCTCTGAGCCTCCGTTTCCTCATCTGAAATTGGGAGTGATGATGTTGGCGATGCTAACATGAATCTTACAGGATCATCGTGAGGACTCAACCAACCAGCTGGCCCACGCAGAGCACTAGAACCGTGGTATACCAGACTGGCACAGAGTGCTGGCTGTAATTTTGCAAAGTGCTATTTGATTATAAACCCACCATTATTCTTTAATTACTAGAATTTTGATAATGGACACTTTCAGAGCTGAAAATGGTATCGGAGAAGGTCTAAGTTGATATTCCCATTTTAAAGGAAAGAATTTTTTGGAACTTTTGCAACCCAACTACTCAAGTTGAAGATAGAGTAACAATCCAAAAATGTTAGAAATAAAACTTTCTCTGCTTTTCTAAAAAATTGGCAAAAAGGGGAGCGTATTTCCCTTCAGGCTTTCTGACCTATTTTTCCTGGCTTTTAAAAACTCTAAATACTCTACAATGTCTAGCCATATACCCTCCACTTTAGACTTTGACCTCCGAGCAAAGAGGTATTGCTTATGTTCTTAGCACAATGTCTGGCACATTTAAGGCTCAATGGATATTGATCAATCACGTTATTTAATCTCAGTGGCTTCCAGCAGGGGGCACTCTTGGGCTTTGGTAATTGCTACTCTCTCACAGCATTCTTAGGACTGGGAAGGCAAGTCACAAACTCTTCTTTGGTGGAGTTCACATATGGTCCTTCTTGAACCAAAATATTTCACATCTCAAGGTGAATTGTTGAGAGCTTGGAGGGAAAGAATGGTAGGAGGATGACACAAGTGGGGAGAGAGCCACTAGTGTGCTAATGACAGCAATGAAAAAAAGCAGGCTTTATCTAAAAATTGGTAACATGGGAAGGTAGAGATAGATATATTTATTAATTGGCCCTCCACCACTCTCACTCCCCCTTTTTTTTTTTTGTGGCTAACCAGTGTTCTCATCTGTCCCTCTCTCCCCCCACCCCCACCCCCGAGAAAGCTTCCTCTGTTTCTCTGTTGTCATTCACACTTTAGTGCGAATAAGCTATCTGAGCTACCTGCCCAACACCAACCTTTGCTGTAAAATGAAAGACTTGCCCACGTTATTAAAGGAATATTAAACATCAGCATGCTGGTAAAAGAGACATTTAAGGGGCCAGTAGCCCTTCCCACCTCCTTCGAAATCACATGCAAGTGAAAAAGAAAGGTTAATCCTGATCTCAAAAATCCACAGGAAGGGGGTGCCTGGGTGGCTCAGTCAGCTAAGCAACCCACTTTTGATCTCAGCTCAGGTGTTGATTTCAGGGTGGTGGGTAAAAAAGAAAAAAATCCACAGGAGGAAAGGCGTAACACACAGTAGACGAGTTCATATATTGTCTTTCAGGTTCCATTTTTTAAGTATTTTCTCTCTAACAGTACCGGTTTTTCAGAAACTTGCTTGAGAAGAGTAATGATTAAAAAAGATTTTATTTATTTATTTATTTATTTATTTGAGGGGAGGGTGCAGAGGGAGAGGGAAAAAGAATCTCCAGCAGACTCCAAGCTGAGCACGGAGCCCCACTCGGCTCGATCTCACGACCCTGAGATCATGACCTGAGCCAAAATCAAGAGTTGGACTCTTAACTGAGCCAGCCAGGAGCCCCAAAAAAGGGTAATGTTTTCAAAACTTTTTAAAAATAATCCTGTTCTCTGAACACCCAATCGATTTAAGAATTGTATAGAAAAATAGAGATGCATTCAAAGAAACCGCTCCTCCACGCGTGGTCCGTGGGCCAGCAGCACTGGCATCACCTGAGCAGCGTGGGAAGCCATTCGGGGGTGGGGGGGGCTCACCTGCTCAATCAGTCTACATTTTCAAAGGTGGTTTCAAGCACACCCACAAGTTTAAGAAGCACTGCCTTAGGATGAAGATTTCTTCTCTGCCCTGACCTTACTCTTTCTATGCTTCTCCTCCGGAGGTAAACTGCCAGGCACCCTCTCCCTCTTCGCGTTACCCTCCCCACCCACAGTGGGGAAACCACAGGACAGGCCATGGAAGCCCAGGTGTCCTAGCCCAGCCTCTCCCTAACCGCCCCCCGCCCCCCGGCACCTAACACAGCCCTCTGCCTTCTGTCTCGGCCCCCTTTTGGCCCACAGATCTGCTCTGAACAAAGCATCTTTGATCCCAAAGGATTTATTCTGTGCATTATCACCGTATAATTGCCTGGAATGCTTGTAAAACATCATTCTGTGCAGGCCTGGTGCTGTGACTGTCTTCCAGAAGAATTCCTGAAGGCCAGCCTCCCTGTTAATATCCACTCTTGTAATCATTCTTAGCGAGCTCAGCTGCTAGTAAATAGGGGTGGGGAGCAGTGAGAGCTCGGAGACGTGGGGCACACAGAGCGGGGAGGGATGACCTGGGCCTAGGGGACCATAACAGGCTTCACAGCAGAGCTCCCAGGTCAGGAGTCCTCAACCCTGGCTGTGTAGGAGAGCCTCTTAGAAACACCAATACATGGGCCTCACCCCACAGAGTCTGATTGGTGGGGATGGGGCCCAAACATGGGGATGTTTTTAAAGCTCTAATGATTCTAAGGACTCCAACATGCTGCCGGGGCTAGGAAACAGATTTCTAAAGGAGTAGCAAGAGGAACCCAAGCTACCTCAGCTCATGGCACTGTGGCCCACCCGTTCACCAAAGCCAGAGCCCCCGAACTCCCTGCAGCCCTTCCGTCCCCTGTGCCCACAGGTAATCTGTCCTTGTCTTGAGGGCGCCTCCTCTGAGTTTCCTCACCATCCTTCCCTCCCTTCTTAGTGCTCCCACTGCCACTGGTCTTGCTTATTATCAGGCCCCCTCTTCTCCCAAGTCTCTGCACGTCTATACTCCTGAATCTCTCCCCTGCGATGTATGCCTAACTTCCTAAAACAAGGGATGATTCTGTCACAGTTGTGCCTGAAAACACTCCGGAAGCCCAGCAGACCCACAAAGTCCATACCCCAAAGCATGGCTGACAACGTCCTCCATGTGCTGGTTCATTCTCTTTCCACTCTCTCAGTCCCAACACTTGACTACGATCCCCCACCTACAGGCCTGTTTCTGCTGTTTCTATCCCTGGTAGAATCCTACTGATTTTTCCACACCAAGCTGAACCATCACCTCTTGGGCCAAGACTTCCAGAGTGCCCCCTGCCGTTTATCACTCCTTTCTCTGGAATCCCAACTCTATGTCCGTGTTCCTGCCTGGAACATAGCACAATTCCACAGCGCCTTCGTGTGCTTGCTGCCAGATCTGCCTCCCCTGCTAGGCTGCTGGGTTTCTGGAGGGCGGGGAGCAGGGTTGCATCTGTGTCTCCCGTGCACCAAGCGCAGAGCCTGTATCTATGTGAAATTTAGCGGTGTTTGCAGAATGAATGAGTGAGCCCTCTTCTCGATAAATTCTTGGTGACTGAATCAATTAACTATACCATTAGTTCTGGGAAAATACAGTGTTATAAACAGGATCATTTTCACAAGAACATTTCCATGTTGTTCCCCTTCCAAAATTAGAAAAGAATAGTTTGTATGGGCTCTCGGTTTGGAAAACAAGCATGGTTGCTCTGATTGGCTCTAACAGGAGTGCCTGCTCTGAGGCAGAGCAACTGGAACGGGCTCTTTGCAAGCCTGTAGCCCTGTTCCTTCGACCCCACCAGGACAAGCCAGCAGGATGAGCCCCTTGTGCTCCTCTCCAAAGTATAAGCAGGAGTCGGGTGATCACCCAGACATCAGGGGACATTTATGGATTGAGGAGATTACAGTAGGCATTCCAGCCTGTCTTCCTCTCTTTCCTTTGTGTTTAGCAAAATTAAAGGCAATAATATGATTTTTACAATCCCTCTCACCTAAAAGCACAGATAACTTTGAGAATAGATCATTTGGAACTCTGCACGCAAAACCTCAAAACTTGTTTCCCTGGGATGAAGATAACCTGAGAATGGTTTTAGCTTGCTTCTCCAACAAAGTTATAAAAGAAGGCAGGGAACATTACCTCTGTGGATTGAATCACGGGAGATATTCCCGCCACGCTGGAGTTGACCAGGAGGCACCCTTAGAAGCCATCTGTGTGACCAGGCCACCCCACCTTGCCCTGCCTTGAGCCTGAGCTGTCCTTGCTATTCCTTGGAACTAGAACCCTACTAATATAAATCATGAGAACGCTGCAGAGCAGAATTTGGCATCAACTGAGGAGTAGGGGCGGTGTCGAGGAGGACTACTGTGCAGTGGCTTTCCTTCTGCACGAGGGCCTGGGACTCCTCAGCCACCCAGCTGTGTCTCTCGCCTGCTGGACCCTGTCCTTTGCCCAGGCTACAGTCAGCAGACAGATGTTAAGTTAGCAAACCACAAGTCAGACAGGGTGGTCCTGGACCAAGGGCATGATCCATGCTACCTCTCAAGTCCAATATAGTTTAGGGTTTGCTCTTCCTTCTCCAGAACATTCCAAAGCCTACAGAGCAGTGTCCCTCAACCACACATTAGGTTCATCTGGTGAGCTCTCAAAACATACCGGTGCTTAGGCCCCTCCCCGAGACATTATGATGTAATTGGCATGGAATAGAGCCTGAACATCAAAATTATCCAACAGCTCTCAGGCTATCCTAACATACTGTCAAGTTTGAGAAATACTGCAATAGGTCCACCCCCATAAAAATGCTTCCTCTTAAGTCCACAGCCTGAAGGGTCCTAAGATGAAATTAAATTTCCCTGAAGGACTAGACCCGCTGTGAACTATTTAGAAGCAAGGATGGGATCTTACTCATCTTTAGCCCCAGCACCTGATGTGGTACTTGGTTTACAGTAAGTGCTCAATAAAGGTTTGTTTGAATGAGTGACTGCATTAACTCAGATCCCCAAATCTGCCCTCCATAACCCGGTGTTCTGCTAGGAATAACTGTACTGGGTGCCTGGGTGGCTCAGTGGGTTAAGCATCTCCCTTCGGCTCAGGTCATGATCCTGGAGTCCTGGGATCGAGCCCCATATCAGGCTCCCTGCTCAGCGGGGAGCCTGCTTCTCTCTCTCCCTCTGCTGCTCCCCCTGCTTTTTCTCTCTCTCTCTCTGTCAAATAAACAAATAAATAAAATCTTTTAAAAAAAATAAAAATAACTGTACTAAAACAGGGAGCAGCCTTAATTTCAAAATTTGTTTTGCTCATTACAGACACCCAAGACTGAGTTACTATTCTAACATAAACGTGGTGCCAGGACTGTCTTTTTAAAGTTCTGAACTTCTAGATTCATTGTTTTCTTTGCAAACATTTTGAAAATTAACTGAATTTTTAATGTTTGGGTTGTATCTACTTAATTCTGAAATAACTAGTCAAGATGGCCAAATTAAATCAGCTAAACAAATCAATTTGGGTAAAAATGAAAGGCAGTCTTATTTCAAAGAGCAGGGAGCAAAACCTAAGGAGAACGTGGTCCTGGCTGAGAATACAAAAAAGTTCAGGTATATTCATGGATGAGAGATCTTTAAAAGTTAATTAGGGAATCTAAGCTCTGTGAGTTAACAGAGCTTAGCTTAGCTTAGCTCCCTAAGTTTTAACATTTCAGGTTGGTGGCTGATGTCAAAAAGTACAATGAGGCAATCTTCCCTCAGTGCCACCATCCACAAGAAAATCTTAGCTTAGGGTTATTTTTTTATGATATTAAAAAAATTTTTTTTTTTAAGTTAAACTTAATCTGGTAGAAATAGGCAGAGAGGACAAACTAAATCCGCCGTTTGACTAAATGTTGCCCCTCCCACCGGGGCAACGCTAGCATGGCCCCCAGGGACTGAAATGATCCTGTGTCTCCGCCTGGTTTCAACACAAGGAAGAGGGTGAAAACACTGAAGCTACTTCGCGAGAAAACCAACTTGGGTGTTGAATATTTACTTGAATTTTTATCAGGAAGCCGGTCTATCTTCCATACAACGGCCCGGTAGGCACTCTCATATTTTGCTGACCCCACAGTGACCTGTATAACAGGTTCAGATTCGGGTTCGTGTAAATTCCCCAGACATGCCCGGCGGTTCATTTTGGCTTTCAGGGACTTCTGCCTCTGGAGGTTCATGGTCCAGAGGGCCTTGATCCACTGTGATGGGACAGGAAAGTGTATCATGATGTTGTCACAGGACCTCAAGGAACTGGCATAGGGGGCCATGTTGACAAAGGCCTGAAGCTCCACATACGCCCCCTGGACAACTACCACAGACTTGAGGGAAAAGGGAAGATCCTCCCCGTTATACAAAGTCTTAAAACGCATCAGCTCAAACCGGCAGGCATCCAGCGGTACAAACTTAATGGTTCTTGACTGCTCGAATTCTTGTGCTTTCACACACTTATGAAAATGATGGTCAAGAATATCAATCCCCTTCTTTTCTGGGTCTTTTTCAAAATAGCGTTCATTTCGCTTCTGCAGCTCAAGGTCATTCAAGGTCAAAAAGCATTCTGTGTTCCCATTCACAAAGCAGAGGCAACAGAGTTGAGTTATGACAGTGCTTTCAACCAATTTTCCTTCTTCTTTAGTGATTTTCCCCCAGAAGTTGTCCACAATTTCCAGGGAAATTTCTTGTTCCTCATAGTTCTTTTTTGGTTTTGAAACACCTGGCAGCTTTGTCAGCTCCTCCTCCACAGTAGTCAGGAAGTCGAGGAAATCGTGGTACTCTGTGGACCCTAACTTCAGCATCTGGTCGATGTCTGGTTCATGAACTACTTCTGTCTTAGAGTGGTATTTCCTTTTTTCTGTGTAAGACACATGTTCAATCTTCACAGTATGGATTTTTCCTGCCACACTAAAGTTCTCAACTTTGGGTTCAGAAAGCCTGCAATGTGGATCGAGCTGTAACTCCTTAAATGGTTTTTCTAACCCCTTCTCATAATACATTTGCAAAATTCCACCAGGTAAGACTTTCAGAAAAATTGGTCCCCACTGACGGGAAGACATCATGTTCTTCTTCTCAGGAATTCTCAACATGAAAGACCATCCAGGTTTTGGCTGACTCCTGAAGAGCGTGTGGGGGACAAAGGAAGAGGCAGTGTCTTCAGCATACAAACACTGCATAGACAAATTTCCATAGGAGTCTTGGTCCTCAGCTGACTGGAGATGTTCAAGCTTCTCACAGATGTAGTTAAGTGAACCCTGATTTAAGCTTTTTTGATCGAGAGGCACCTCTTTGTCTCTTGATGGGTACATCTTTCTGCTTCCTGAAGGGTCAAAGGCAAACTGGGAAGCACCGCCTTCATCTTTCCAAAATGGACTTGAAAAAGCACAGTCCTCCCGAAAATACTGAAACTTGGGGGCATCACTTTGAAACCCTAGGCTTTCAGCCTGGGGAGGGCCAACTTCATCTGGAAGACCCCCTCTGGGAGCTGGATATGTACATGAGTGGTCACTGGGTAAGGGAGCATGGGATAAACAAGATGGTTTAGTAGACAGTAAGGAAGAGCCTGCTTCTGGTGTTGTAAGTGGACTGTTTGAAGATGATTCTGGGATAGGATAAAGCGTATGAGTCCCTGCTTTGGGGACACCAGGAAAACCTGGGAAGTCCTTGGTAGGTGTAGAAAGAGGAGAGTTACTTGGAGGTCCTGGACTAAAGTAAAAGTCTATGATGGGAGACGAGAGGGGGGTACTGTTGGCAGAGGAAGATCCACTGGGAAATTCTTTAGCACCAGAAAGGTTCAGCTTAAGTCCATTGGGCCTACAGATGCCTTGATTCTCCAGAGGTAAATTCTTTGACTTTTGAGAAGACTGAAAAGCAGGGTCATCATCAAATGTGACCCAGTTGCCTGGGTTTGTAGAACACATCTTTGGAATCAGATTGTGGTCTTGTCTATGAATCAGGTATGTTGTATCTGTTAAAGGAGAAAGAGACAAGAAGAATATTAAATGAGGAGGGGGAGGAAATTCAAGTGACTTTAGTTCTGAGAAATACTTAGATTAAAAAAAAAAAAAACAAAACGGGGGCGCCTGGTTGGCTCAGCTGTTAGAGCATGAGACTCTTGATCTTGGAGTCATGGGTTCAAGCCCCATGTTGGACATACAGCTTACTTAAAAACTAAAATAAAGTGTTGTCACAAATAGAAGTTCAAAATTAAAAAAATAAAAATACAAGCAACCAGATTTACAGATTAACTGAGTTCAAAGAAATGCTTAAGAATTGTAACACTTCTGATGATTAAATGGATTAACAACAACAACAACAAAACAAGATCTAACCGTACACTGTGTACTAGAGACTCTTTTGAGATTTAAGGACAAACTTAGGCTGAAAGTGAAAGGAAGTAAAAAGATATTCTATGCAAACAGAAACGAGAGCAGGCAGGGGATGGCCATACTCTACCAGGCTAAATAGATTCTACGTCAAAAGCTGTCACAAGAGACAAAGCAGAACATTATATAATGATAAAAGGGTCAGCTCACCAGGAAGATATAACAATTACAAGTATATATAAAGCCAATATCAGAGCACCCAAATATATGAAACAAACATTAAAAAACTGAAGAGAATTACAGACAGCAACATAATAATATTAGAGTTTCAATACCCCACTTTGAATAACAGAACATCCAGATAAAAGATCAATAAGGAAACAAAGTACTTGAACAATACACTAGACTAGACAGACATTCCACACAACAGCAGCAGGATATACGTTCTTCACAAGCATACACAGAATATCCCCCAGGACAGATCACATGTTAGGTCACAAAACAAGTCTTAACAAATTTAAGAAGACTGAAATCATACCAAGTATCTTTTCTGACCACAATAGAATGAAACTGGAAATCAACAGGAGAAGGAAAACTGGAAAATTCACAAATGTAGCAACTGAACGAAATATAACAACCAATAGGCCAAAGAAGAAATCAAAAGGGAAGTGAAAAAATATTTTGGGGTAAGCAAAGTGAAAACACAACATACCAAAACTTATGGATGTAGCAAAAGCAGCAGACAGAATAGAGTTTATAGTGGTAAACACCTACAGGAAGAAAGGAAGGAAGGAAGGAAGGAAGGAAGGAAGGAAGGAAGGAAGGAAGGAAGGAAGGAAGGAAGGAAAAGAAATCAAATAAACAACCTAACTTTAAAGCTCAAAGAACTAGAGAAAGAAAAACAAACTAAGCCCAAAGTTAGGAGAAGGAAAGAAAGAATAAACATTAGGGCAGAAATAAATGAAAAAGAGAATATAAAACAGAAAAGAAGGGAAACTAAGAGTTGGTTTGTTTTAAAAGATCAACAAAACTGACAAGCCTTTAGCTGGACTGAGAAAAAAAGAGAAAATACTCAAAACCAGAAATGCAAGATGTGACATTAAACATATGTCACAGAAATAAAATAATGATTATAAGTGACCACTATGAACAATTACATGCCAGCAAGTTGGATAACCTAGAAGAAATGGACAAATTCCTAGAAACATACAATCCACCCCGACTGAATCATAAAGAAATAGGAAATCTGAACAGACCTATAATTAGCAAGGAGATTGAATTGGTAGTCAAAACCTCCCAAAAAATAAAAGCTCAGGCCCAGATGTTTTCACTGGAGAACTCTACCAAACATTTAAAGAAAAATTAATACCAATCCTACTCAAGCTCTTCCAAAAAACTGAAGAGGCAGGAACACTTCCAAACTCATTTTGTAAGCCCAGCATTACTCTGATACCAAAGCTAAAGATACTATAAGCAAAGAAAAATACTATATCCCTGATGAATACAAATGCATAAATCCTCAATAAAATACTAGCACATCAACTTCAACAACAGATTAAAAGGATCATACATCATTATCAAGTGGCATTTATTCCTGGGATTCAAGGACAGTTCAACATATGAAAATCAATCAAAGTGATATAGCACATCAACAGAACAAAGGATAAATATCACATGATCATCTCAATAGACCCAGAAAAAACACCTGACAAAACTCAACACTTTTTCATGATAAGAAACCAGCCAACAAACTAAGAAGAAGGAAAACCTCAAAATAATAATAAAGGCCATCTATGAAAAGCCCATAATTAACCTCATACTCAATAGTGAAAAACTAAAAGCTTATCCTCTAAGATCAGACACAAGGCAAGGATGTTCACTCTTTTTTTTTTTTTAAAGATTTTATTTATTTATTTAACAGAGAGAGACAAAGTGAGAGAAGGAACACAAGCAAGGGGAGTGGGAGAGGGAGAAGCAGGCTTCCTGCGGAGCAGGGAGCCTGATGTGGGGCTCGATCCCAGGACCCTGGGATCATGACCTGAGCCGAAGGCAGACACTCAATGACTGATCCACCCAGGCACCCCAAGGATGTTCACTCTTACCGCTTCTATTCAACATAGTCCTGGAAGTCCTAACAAGTGCAATTAGGCAAGAAAAAGAAATAAAAGGCATCCAAATCAGAAAGGAAGAAGTTGCATTTTGTCTATTTACAGATATGATCTTATCTATAGAAAACCCTAAACACATACACACAGTTAGAAGTAACACAAATTCAGCGAAGTTGCAGGATACAAAATCAACAACCAAAATCAATTGCATTTCTATACATAAACAATTAACAATCCAAAAAGCAAATTAAGAAAACAATCCCATGTACAATAGCATCAAAAAGAGTAAAATATTTAGAAATAAATTTAACACTGAAATAAATTACACTGAGAAGTAATTGCTGGAAGAAATTAAAGAAGACACAAATAAAAAGATATCCCACATTCATAGATTGGAAGACATAATATTGTTTAAACGTCCATACTGCCCAAGACAATCTACAGATTCAATGCAGTCCCTACCAAAGTCCCAATGACATTTTTTGTAGAAATAGAAAAAACAATCCAAAAATTCACATGGAATCTCAAAGGTCTCTGAATACCCAAAATAACCTGGAGAAAGATAAACAAAGGTGGTGGTCTCATACGGTCTGACTTTAAAACATATTACAAAGCTATGGTACTCAAAACAGTATGGTACTGGCATAAAGTCATATAGCCCAAAGGAACAGAATATTAAGCCCAGAAATAAACTCACACACATGGCCAAATGATCCTCAACAAGGATGCCAAGATTATACAATGGGGAAAGGATAGTGTCTTCAACAAGCTGTGTTGGGAAAACTGGATATCCACATGCAAAAAAAATGACATTGGACCCTTATCTTATACCATACACAAAAATCAACTATAAATGGATTAAAGACTTAAACATAAGACCTGAAACTATAAAACTCCTATAAGAAAACATAGGGGAAAAGCTTGATGACATTGGTCTTGGCAATGATTTCTTGGATAGGATACGAAAAGCACAAGCAACAAAAGCAAAAATAGACAAATCAGACTACATCAGACTCAAAATCTACACAGCAAAGGAAAAATACAGTGATGAGGCAACCTACAGAATGGGAGAAAATATTTGCAAACCATTTATCTGATAAGGGTTTAATATTCAAAATACATAAGGAACTCCTGCTCTATAGCAAAGAAACAAACAAATAAACCAATTTAAAAATGGGCAACGGACTTGAATAGATGTTTCTCCAAAGAAGACATACAAATGGACAACAGGTATATGAAATGATGCTCAACATCACTAATCAGCAAGGAAGTGCAAATCAAGACCACAATATCACCTTATACCTGTTAGGACGGTCATTACCAAAAAAACCCAAAAGAAAAGAAAAGCAAAAAACAAACAAAAATAACAAGTGTTGACAAGGATGTGGAGAAATTAGAACCCTTGTGCACTGTTGGTGGGAATGTAAAATGAAAAACAATATAGACTTTCCTCAAAAAAATTTTTAAATAGAACTACCATGTATATGATCTAGCAATCCCACTTCAGGAATTGTTTTTTTTTTTTTTTTAAGATTTTATTTATTTATTCGAGAGAGAGAGAATGAGAGATAGAGAGCATGAGAGGGGGGAGGGTCAGAGGGAGAAGCAGACTCCCTGCTGAGCAGGGAGCCCGATGTGGGACTCGATCCCGGGACTCCAGGATCATGACCTGAGCAGAAGGCAGTCGCTTAACCAACTGAGCCACCCAGGCGCCCCCCCCCACTTCAGGAATTGTATCCAAAAAAATTAAAAACAGGATTTCAAAGAGATATCTGCACTCTCTTCTTCCTTTCAGCATTATTTACAATAGCCAAAAGGTGGAAACAACCCAAATGTCCATTATCTGATGAACAGGTGAAGAAAATGTGGTATATGGACATATGATGAATCTCATTCAGCCTTTATAAAGGAAAGACATTCTGGCACAGGCTACAACGTAAATGAACCTTAAGAGCATTATGCTAAGTGAAATAAGCCAGTCACAAAAACACAAGTACTATGTGATTCCACTTAAATGAGGTATCTACAGTAGTCAAATGCATATAAGCAGAAAGGAGAATGGTGGGGCTGGGTGGCGGGAACGGCAGAGGGAAAAGGGGTGTGGCTCTTAGTGGGTATAGAGGTTTAGTCGTGCAAGTTGAAAGAGTTCTAGAAATCTGTTGTAAAACAGTGTGCATATAGTTGACAATAGTGTACTGTACACTTAAAAATTTGTTGAGGGCAAAAAAAATTGTTAAAAACCTGTTATTTTTTTACCACAATTTTAAAAAACTGCAAAAAAATTTCTAAAAATTTAAAAACCGCAACACTTTTTAATCAATTCAGAAAGTCTTTATTTGAATGACTGTGTAGTGAGAACTTGCTAGTGTTGTAGAAAATATAGAAGATAAAAACCCAATTTATAATGAACTTCTTAAAACCCACTGATTGCTCCCCAAATACATAAGGCTTATTGTTTAGAAGCATTTTCAAATTCATGACCTAATTTATCAAAACAATCCTGGGAGGTGTATATCGTCATTTCT